GTATTTTGGGACCACGGCCAGTTACTGCCATCAGGAAAGAAACTTGTTTTTATTAATTTCTGTATCCACATACACATAGGCCTACATTTTTAACTGTGTGTTCGATAATATATTTTCGAACTGACCTTCAACCAAATGGAGAGCTTCCTAAAAATTGTTTTCTTAACTTTTCTTGGTGCCATGTATTTCTGAACAAAAATACTGAAATCGGTTAAAATATTCATCAGTTATTATCGAACACCGGCCACTTTATTTATCTTTTCTTCATTCAGGATATGCTTACCTTCCAATCTCATTGTTTTGTGTTCTATTATATTCCTGTTAGAGCCAATGTGAATAAATGGTCCAAGTTAAAACTGGGACCGGATACTAAAATAGGCGGGGATGATACAAAAAAGAGAAATATACAGGAGGCTATGAGCTGGGCCCGAAGGCTGAAATAATGATGACGATGATGATGAGGATAATGATGATGCTGTCAATTAATGTTGTGATGCTATCTGCAGGCCCGTAGGCAGGATTTTCGATGGGGAGGTGCGTTTTGCGACCGAAGCGGACCTTAGGATGGGCGACCACCTATCCCCGCGAGGGTGGGGGAATCCCCGGAAGCTCCGACAAATAGCATTTTGGGAGGCTTAATGTAATTTCTGAAACTCATACAGTAATTCGTAATATTCTATTTAAATTTTCATTCATTTGGGTATTGTTAGGGACCTAAAGCAAGAGAAATAGAGGATGGGGGTGCAGGGAGGAACTTTCACAGACGGATGGTCAATGCCACCTCAGCCCCACCATCGTTGGGGGCTAAGGTAAGAAAATTTATGATTATGGCACCTCTAGATGGCCGGAAATGGCACTCTCAGGCAAAATATAATTAAGATTATTATTCTCCATTTCTTTTATAATTTTAGGGGGCTCTCCACCCCTTTGAATCCGCCACTGTGAAGTTGTAACTTTTTATGTCCTTTGCATAATGTAGGCCTACAGATGACATGGATCAATCTGCAATCAGTGGAACCAGATAATAATAATAGGTTTTAAAAAGTAGAATTTGGGGGCGGGGTGTGCTCACTCTCTGCACCCCCAGCCCCCGCCTACGGGCCTATATCTGCGAGAAAATGTACGAGTAATGTACGTAAAGATTCGTGCTTTACAAAAATGTATTTATGAATGTGAATAATTTTTTTTTACTGTGTTATTTATACACATAATATTGTCAAAATTATACTTGCCGTTAAGTTGACCTGTTTCATGAGGTCATGGCAGATGTACTTCGGACCATAACCAACCTGTTTCCTGCCTTAAATACAAACCAGTACTAATTAACGGACGCTAGACATAGATTCGTTGAGACCGTTTACCTGTATTTTGTTGCAATATAGATTTAAATTTTCTGAGCACTGGCTTTAAGGGTACCAGGGCATTTTTTGGGTCTGAATAAACAAATTTGAATGAATTATATTACTTAGTTTAATTTTGTTTACACATTGTGCAGTAAGATCAGTTCATTGGCACAATAAAGATTAATAATAATTATAATAATAATAATAATAATAATGATGATTATGACGATGAAATTATATAGTACAGGCCCATAGGAAGCAAACATTATTGGTCCGACCAACGAGAAGAAATCACCACCCCCTCCCCCAACTTCATCCCCGAGAGGATTACTTCTGGCGGCGCCAGATGAAGTTCGAAGGTGAGAACACAATTGAAATGTACCACCTGATGCCCGGAAATGGCACTCTTTCCTAATAATAACACCGGTATATCTTTATTTAACCACAGAAAAAAAAACTCAAATCAACAGTAAAATTTAATTTAAAAATATTACCTGTCTCTTATACACATCTAGATGTGTATAAGAGACAGGCTTTGGCGTCTGCCATTTATGTGGAGGTATGGTTGTAATATTTGCATTAATATTTCACATTATAATTAATTAAAAAAGAAAAATAAACGTCGATTATGGGCGGCATGCGGTGGCATGCGGTGGTATGCGGTGGCATGCGGTGGTATGCGCCTTTTAGTGAGACCCAACTCCGCTTCCTGTGAGAACTATAGACAACACAATGCCTTCTGCTCATAGTATCCTTGTTAAATATTTGTTAATACTTTTATTTATTACATTAATTTAGAATTGTTAAGCAAATTTGATATATTTCTTTATGTTTGTAAAGTTAAATGGTCAGAAAACATTTGGCTCTCTCGAATTGAACGATGATACTGTCACTTTTTTTTTAATACTGTACAAAGCACTTGCACACAACGTTCAAATCGGGTGTAAATGGTCGGAATGCATAAATCAAACTTACTTAAACAAATTAAGCAATTAAAGGTTGGAATTTATCTGATATCGAAATATATTACAATAAGCAGAAATAAAGCAAAGTATCACTTGGAATATTTTTATTAACAGCCTTTATGTACATAGTACACTTCTTCAAGTAAAATAAACTGTAGTATAGTAAAAATAACATTAACTTAGCTTTCAAGTAAACACTACAGCATCTACTTAAACTCTCAGCTAGATTTCTTTTTAGAAATCTTACCTCTATTGTTTATTGGAGTATTATCAAACCTTTGCAAAATGAAACCTAACCCACCCGCCCCCCACCCCCTGGTGTGTTAACTGACGAACAATTATCTCTTTGTATGAATTAAAATATATATATAGTTTTACTTAAACTTATAATATTATTATATTGGAATATTAAGAAAATTAAATTTGATTAAACCTTGCTTAAAATACTGTAGAACCCCTCCGTCGGGACACACCTATTAAGGCGACACCCTTTTTTCATCCATGAGACGAGCAAAAGTATAGTTTATAACACTACGGCCAACCCCTATTCAAGGAACACCAAACAAGGGGGTCGCTTATTTTTTTTTGTTCCCGAAGGTGTACCCTTAATAGTGGTTCTACTGTAGTTATTTTTCAGAGTTTTCTGAATAGGATTCAGAAGCTTTTGGCTTTAAACTAAAACTAAATTGTGCTAACCTCATCAAAAGTAACCCATGTTAAAAATTAAATGTGTTGCATCAATGATAATGCATTTTTTACTATCTATAGGACCTCTATAAGACCTCTTTCTTGATTACAGTTTGCCCTTTATTTCGAGAGTACTCTTGGCTGAAAAACTGGGGTTCGGTCTCCATTTAGAGAGTTAGTTTTGTGTAAAAACACTGAAAATAGTAATTTAGTTCTCAGAACTGGAGGTGTCTCGAATTGGAGATTATTGCTGAAACCTGTGCTTTAGAGCACAATAATTGGGATTTGCAAAATCAAAATAACGATATTTCAATAGGCGAAATAATATTCCGACAACTTTGTGGTGGCATCTGACGACAATATCTGTATTTGACTGGTCGTTCTTCGTTAAAACACGCTAACTTCCACGGTGGTAAAATCCTACTTAACGAAGACAACCAGTTAAATAGAAAACTTGTAAATACTCGACAAAACAAAATGGCTGCATAGTTACCGTGATACACGCTGCATAATCAAGATTCGGTGGATTGTGGCAGTATGGGTTTTTTGTAAAAAAAAAAATTCATCCCGTTTTTTAAATCTGTTAGCCTACAATTATTTTTTAATTTCTTGTGATTAAATATTATAATTTTTATTTTCTGAAATTTAGTCTAAATTATATTAACGCAAATGTTGTTGCTAAACTGACCAATCGGCCATGTTTGTTTTGGTCACGTGGGTAACTTAACGCTGATTAATGCACTGCGGTTATGATAATTTTTGTTTTCAACGAAGTCTATTTTACAAACCAGTCAAATGAAAATAATACCCAGCGAAAAATCGTAGTCAAGGAAATGAACCAGTCAAATAAGCCCAATGTGTTGAGGCCTGTCCAGAAAGCAAAATTTTTTCCCCGAACGCCTGCTCCTTCTACCCCATCAGTCCTTATGCCTATGCTTCTAGAAGCACTACTGATTGATAAACAATACTTACAAATATAATATATATCAATACAATCTTGCAGTAATATTCAATTGTACATATGTGTGATAAACATAAATTATAGGACTATAAAAAAAAAAACCAATATTTTTATATATATTATAATATTCTAGAACAGGACCAGCCCTCTGTCAAATATTGTTACATATTTTTATTTATAAATTCAATTCAAACTTAAGAATACTTTGTACAGATTCTTGAGAAAAATCTAAGTTTTGATGAGGAGCAGTCATAATACTGTACAGCCACGCTTAGCCTTACGATTACTGTAGTTTCTCGGTTTATTTTAATTAAAAATAATCTTATTATATTATATGGGGCTTGCAATTCCAAACCCAGCATCAGTGACCAAAAATAAGAACATTGGCTTTTTAATATTTTTCATATTCTCCACTTTATAGGCTTTAAAATGATAGGTCATTTACTGGAATCTATTTACTATTAACAAAGTAATAAAAAAACGATCAATTGTGCGCGCATAGCATCGGGTCGGCCGACAACTGTTGGATGCACTAAGTGCCTGCTTTTAATGATGATCTGAGTAAAATTCTGTTTAATTACATCTTCGCTTTTGAAATTTATAGCAGCATAGGCACAATATTATTCAATGAAATCTCAAAGCTGACTCTTCAATTATCCTAAAAAGACCCATACATGTTGAATCTCTTAAAATATATGTTTGATAAGAAAAAGTTAATGTTCCAATGGAACATCTTTTCGTGGCAATACTGGTGGCGCCCTCTTCGGTCGAGGGGTGATCTTTGGTTTTGATGGTGGAGAACTTACTGTAGAGAAAAGAAGACAATTTAGAAATGTCAGATTACACAATCACATATAATATTATTATGTTGACATTTACCTCCTTGACATTATTGTCATCCTCATCACTATCATCATCAACATGATAAAAATTATGATCTGGTGAATAATCACCTTCGCCATCACTACCGTCAACAGCACAATAACAGTCACCATTACCAACACAACCATACCAATCACCACTATCATCACCATCATCACCATCATCACCACAACCATACCAATCACCACTATCATCATCATCATCACCATCACCAACACAACCATACCAATCACCACTATCATCATCATCATCATCACCATCACCAACACAACCATACCAATCACCACTATCATCATCATCATCACCATCACCAACACAACCATACCAATCACCACTATCATCATCATCATCATCATCACCAAACCACCTTCACAATTACTATCACCATTAGGCCAAGAAAACTTGTTCAGAAAATTTTTTTTTAAAAAGACAACTTACTCTTTCCAGGTTTAGGTAAATTTGGAGAAACAAGAGGAGGACAATTTGATGTTTGTTTTCTTTCTGCTGGAATTGGTGTGTTTTTTTGTCTAGAGAAAGCTGGAGATGGGGCAGATAAAAATGCTGGTTTGTCGGGGGAAATGTTTTTTGGTGGCCTAGGAGGGGGAACAGAAGGCTGGAGGGCTTCATACACCATGACATCTTCATTTACAGCTTCCTCTGTGTCAGACATGACAGCAAGGTATGGTTCATCATCAGTGGGTGTTTCTTCTGTGACATCACTGGATGATTGGTAAGATATAACTGGAGGAAATCTGGGCTGGTCTATATCATAATATACTTCTGGTGAATCTCTGTCCATGTCATGTATGTCTTGGTAAACATCTGGTGAAACCCTGTCTATGTCATGTATGTCTTGGTAAACCTCTGGTGAAACTCTGTCCATGTCTTGAGACATACCAGGAGGGAATCTAGGCTGATCCATGTCATGGGACAACCTGTATTGTTGGGACATTCCTGGAGGTAACCTGGGCTGGTTCAAGTCTTTTTTCAGAAATGTATACTGTTGACCATCTGAAAACGAAATGATAGTTTAAATGGAATATTTGGATATAGAGAAATAACATTAAAATATTACTAATAATAAAAAAAAATCCAGTTCATACATAAATCTCACACAAAACAGGTTATATTAATTATCTATATTAAACATCATGATAATGAAGATGAACCCTTGCCTAGTCAAAAATATTCTTGATCTTTGAATCCAAACGCTGCCAAATAAAATCGGCCCAAAGTGCTTTCACTACCCCGTAGCATTCGGCATTAGTACGGTCTCTGAAAAATATTTACCATGTAATCATGGTCTACTTCAGGATGTGGCACCAATGGGTTGAAAGTATGCCAAGTTTGTCATGGTCAAGAGTGGTAAGTCAAGTGCTACCTTTGTGGATATTGAGTGCTATCTCTAAATTTGGTAGCAAGTCTTTGCAGAAATAATTATAGCTCACATCTGAAGACTTGATAAAATTCCGCAATGACATTTTGTGACCCATGTATGGAACAGCTTAATGTGTAAGTTAGTTGATAGTCTAAACCAGTGTTCCACAAACATTCAGACTGATGACCCAGTAGGAAAAATTTAAAATTTGACCAGGAAGAGTTAAGCCTATATCATGCATATGTTAGGCAACACACATTTCATTTCAGTGTATTTACCTGTTCTAGTTTATTATAATTTTTTTTACCTACTGTATGTGTCATTAAATTTGTATTAATTATTAATGAATACGTATTTTATACAGTCAACTTCAACACTGAATATTATTACAAATAACACATATTTTCATGTATATTGGTGACAGACAAAAACTAGCTGATTTTTTAAATGACTTCTGTCAAGTTTGTGACCCAACAAAAAATGTTGGCGACGTACTGATGGGTCATGACCCAAGGATTGCAGAACTTTGTGCTAAATTATGAAGACTTTTAAAATTAGTTAACTTTCACTGCTGCTCCCCTTGTATTTGAGCTGAAGGGCTAAACGATACAATAGCACGCTATTTTTCAAAAGAAACATTTCATAGCCTTGTGTGTAATATGGCCCATAGCCTGTAAAATAACGGGTAAGCAGTGATTATCTCCCAGTGTAATGCTCAAATCATAACCAGACGAATTGCAGTGAAACCAAGTCTTCAAAGTTTCTTGAGTTATGCCTAGTGTGTTTCATACTGAAGAAATGCGAATTGAATCAGTTTGACGATGTCACAGGGATTCCAAGTATCCCTGAAATCGGGATAGCATTCCGCACTCCCTCAAGTAAGCAAGAAACTCCTGCAAATTCATAATACTTGCATGTTTTTACTACTTTATTATCAATTGTCTCATGAAAGTCAGTGCTAAAGGGTATTGCCATGCGCAGCAAAATTTGTATATATTTATGTATTTATTTATTGAGGTATAAAAACGACAAATACAAAGCGGTAGCACAAAGCTAAATTGCTTGCATTAACAATACATATAACATATAAACCAGCATCACCTTACAGAACAAACATGACAAATACCTCACTGAAATACACAAGAATTACATGTAAATTAAGAATACATTAATATTAAATTATTCAAATAAAATAAAATTATACATATTAAGAAAGCCTATTCAACCAGATCTCCCGAAATGAATTTCTTCCAACTTGGGACCCCTGATGACAGTGTCCTGCCCCGCCATAACGGGTGGGCATAAAAATGGGTTGGATGGCCAAAGGGAATTTTTGATTCAACACTGAGGGCCACCCCAAAAATTAGATGTTTCCAGTGTTCTTCCAAAAACCTTTATGCACTACTTTTATACCACTTTACGCTCAATTTTATTGTTACTTTTTAAGATGACTGGAAATGGGCTGTGCCTAATGGGTTGTATTTGGCATGATTTTCTTCCAAAAAGAGCACGGACAACTTTGTCAGTTGAGCTTTATGTTCTGTTCAGGTTAGTGATTAATATCTTACCATTTTCATATGAACTGATATTTGGAATGACATAGTTTTCATCATCAGTGTTACTCTCATTCAACGCTGTGTATTCATCATCGGGGAAGTCATCAAATTCATCATCTTCCCGATACCTTGGAGGAACATTGGGAAGTGGTCTTGCATTACTCGCATGTTCTTCTGTTAAGCACTCTGTAGAAGCAAAAATTTAAAAAAAATATGTCCTTGCAATTCAAAGAAATGCACTCTGCAGGAGAATGCAGTCGATATCATTTGTCTGTTCACTGTTTAATCCAAACTAATCCAATCTAATCAGGTCATTTATAAAGCGACTTTCTTTGCAGATACTGCTGCACCCCAGAAACTCAGGCACCTCACAACCTACAGGCAGTCATGATCATTGCCTATTCCCAAGCACAAAACAAATAACATGCACTAAAATTCTGCAACTTCCACTCAGAGTACAATGAACTGCAGTAATCAATTTTTGATAAAACAAGTGCACGAACGGCTGCATGATGACAAGTGTCATGGTCGATAAATTTGTGAATCTTCCATAAGTTACGAATATGGTACTTGGTCGATTTACAAAATAGACTGAACTTGACTTGACAAAGACAACGTGGAATCAAATGCGAGACCAAGATTTTGGACCAATTTATTGGTAAGATATGTGAAGTTCCGTAAGTGACAAAAAACCCTGTTTAACGTTTAAAGTTTAATTCGTTATTGGATGCATTTTGGATGTTGACCATAATCATATTATTTTTTAATGTTACAAATTTCAGTTATGTAAATTAGAATCAAACAAACTATGCTGATTATCACATGTAAAACATACACTTTGCACTGTATAGTAGGATTTGGTGATATTTGGAGAAGACCATGTGTTATCAATGTTCAATCATTTATTTTAAATTTTAAATTAAGACTCACTGATATCGAAAGACAAAAGTTTCACCAAGATATAAAAACAATATCCAGACTACATTACTATTGCAATTTTCAAAATGAATGTATTTTATCCAAATACCATACCAAAATTAATAATTATAAGCATAGAAACATATTAAAAAAAAACTTAGTTTAGGAATTTTATCCCTTAAAATAGAACAGTAAAATTGCTAGAAATAACAGGACTTGTAATATGTAAACATTAAATTGTATAGAAGATGAATATCATTTCATCTTAGTTTGTCCATTTTAAATCCTATCATAATTTATCAACTAAAAATATACCATTATGAATAATACAGAATAGTCAAATACATTTATGATTCATTTGAAAAAAGAGAAAGCATATTATAATTTCAGAAAACTGCAATAATGTTTTATTCTTTATCATGTAAATAGGCCAGAGGCCTAATAAGTACAAATAGATGTGCCTAGGAATGAACAAATAACTATTTTGTTTGTTAGTATTGAACTTGACAAATGTTGTTAACCAAATATATTTACTCATCTTGTATGTTCCGATTTCTCTAAAGCTGGGCACTCACTGAGCCGTATGACTGTCACACGACGAATCCAACTCCGCTCCCAGTGAATGCTAGATGATGTGACGTCGTATACTGACCGACGGCATTTTGAACGGATCGTCATTATAAAAGATCCTTTGCACGCATATCGTTGCATTGAGTTCTTCATAATACAGTGAGAGCCCAGCTTAAGGGTGTTTACGTTCCCTTTCTAAGGCACCTCCAGACCGGAGGGATACGCCTGGCGTGTCCAACACCGGGTGTACATTAATCCATGGCATAACTAGTGAGATGTCCCGACTGTGCGATTAACGAACGCTAGCATAAGTATTCTATTCGCGCAAAATATTTGTATTCGTATGATTGTGTGATAATACTGGGGCGGATTGCTATAAAACGGTCTTAACTGGTAGTCTTAACTCCTCGAATAAAGCCGGCTTTATCACTTAGACGGTCTTACTAAAGTCATTCCTCTAAGACCATTGCTATAAAACAGTCTTCCTTAAGACTGCTTTGAGTATTGAAACGCAAACAAGCACTCCCTTGTAACGTAAGTTTGAGGGAGACATCATGCATGCTCGACGCACGCAAATGTATCGAAATAATGTAAATAAACGCTGTAGACCTATTTTTACAGACGCTGAGAAGTGTGCGGAGTATTCATCATTCGATTCTCCAACTTTGATGATCTAGGCCTAGGTCTTGTCATTGCACTGTTGAATTAATCAGCAAAACCCCATGATAAAAATAATTTAAGACCAATTTAAGCCTCCTCCGTGTAGACTTTAAAATTTAAGACGGCTAATGGGTTAGACCGCAGTATAGCAATGGTCTATAATTATAGACCAGTAGTGAGGTCACGATTATAGCCGGCTAACCGTTAAGACCGTCTAAAGACCGCTTATAGCAATCCGCCCCTGGTGTTTGCTACGCTGTGCACAAGTTCACACAACTCGATTAACGTTATGCAGCGTAAGTCGTTATGTCTAAACATAGCCTAAGCCATCATTTAAATCAGAGTGCAAGTGCCATTTAAACCACCAAGCTACAGCTTCACTCCATAATACCATAGACGATGTCAGAAAAGTAGGAAGGACTAAATACCTTTTGAAGTTTTATGTGAGAACTTCGACAGTTTTGCTCCAATGTTGTTTCCTAGTGAGCCAAATAAACCATGTTTTGGGTGATCGTTTGGTGAAGATGTTGCTACCTCTAATGTTGGTCTGCGAGAATATGGAGAAGGGACTTCAGGTCTAATTTCACGTTCCGGTTTGATCTCACGTTCTGGTTTTTGTAAATTTAGCTTCTGAAATATGTTTTTGACAAGCAACTGATTATCTGAAAATTTCAAAATGAAAATTAGTGAGTAGGTGCATATGACATGACCATCGGCATCAATAAAATCAATTAAATACTATTTCCCTGGGCGCATGGCCCCCACATGGGCCCTGAGAACCCCAGCTAAAAGCATACGCTTAAGGCTCAAGGATTCCTTCTTTCCATTCTTCTCCCCACCCCACTTTCAAGCACGGATGATCTTCAAATTATCATCATAATTATCACTATTGTAATAATTGTCAATTATTTACCAAAAATAAGAAATTTACCATCTGTAATTTGATCTTCAAACATGACCGGTTTCCTTGGCATTTCCTCAGCCATCTGAGCCTGAGCACCAAATATATCTAGGCTAGTTTTGGCAAAAGTAATCCATCCTTGGCTATAGGCGTCAAGAGCATCTTTAATTATTCTGGCCTATTATAAGATAAAAACAGTATAAAGAATAGTGATTTTGAAAGGCAGTCAACGAAAGTGGTTTGGAGGGCAGTCAGGTAAACTGGTTTGGTAGACAGTTAATAGATAAACTGGTTTGGTAGGTAATCAGGTAAACTGGTTTGGTAGGGAGTCAGGTAAACTGGTTTGGTAGGCATTCAGGTAAACTGGTTTGCTAGGCAGTAAATAGATAAACTGGTTTGGTAGGTAGTCAGGTGAACTGGTTTGGTAGGCAGTCAGATAAACTGGTTTGGCATGCAGTTAGATAAACTGGTTTGGTAGGTAGTCAGGTAAACTGATTTGGTTGGCAGTCAGGTAACTGGTTTGGCGAGCAATCAGGTAAACTGGTTTAGTTGGCAGTCAGGTAAACTGGTTTGGCGAGCAGTCAGGTAAACTGGTTTGTAAGTAGTCAGGCAAACTGGTTGGAAGACGGTCAGATAAACTGGTTGGATAAGCAGTCAGGTAAAAGAGTTTGGTGGGAAGTCAGGTGAATTGGTTTATTAATCACTGTCAGCAGAACAAGTTTAGTTTACCTAAACTGGTTAGGTAGGCAGTCAGTTAAAATGTTAAGTTAATTACAGACATCATTGAATGGTTTCATCATAGCATCCATGCATTTTTTTCATTACGAAGGTTTTAAGCACTGAATGATTTATCTATAGCGTGCATACCTTTGTTTGTAATTAACCGTTTATTCATAGCATGCATAAATGTTTACTTTTAGCATACAGTGTAAATATTTGCATTCAGAACAATTAAAACAAATACAAAATTTACCTTTTTTGCATCTTTTATGAGAAAGGAGAGATTATAAGAAAAATTAGAAAACATTTCAATGATCAAAAGTCAGCACAAAAACTGTTAAATGAATAAACCAATAAACAAATAAATTAACAAATCTACCTACATATTTCAAATTTACTAAATTTATATTATGCATCCATGTGTCTTCTTTTTTTTAAATTTTGGATGAAAGTACACAACAAGTAAGAGTATAAATACAATAATTAAAAAATTAGAAATAGTAGTCATTGCTGGAAATGTTTTCTCTACCCACAATTTAAAAAAAGGAAAAATATATAAACAAAAATAGCACATACCTTTGATTTCTCAAATTCTGTTACAGAAGTGTTCAGTTCGTCATCCAACCGACTCTCTTCTTGTTCTGCCTGTGATAAAAAAAAATAATAGTTAGATATTCACTCCGATTATGTAAAACTAATGCGGCACCAGATGGGGATCCAGACGTTCACATCGCTCTCCCCAGCGAATGTCAGAGTCAGAGTGAGATATAATATATTAAAAAAAATATAAAGTGATTGTAGTGCCTGGCGGTCTTGCGTATTCCAACTCTTTCTGTAAGAAATGCCACCTATCTCAGCCAAAGACAAAAATGTTGACAAAATATATGCAATACTTCTTTTTTATTGTTTAAGTATTCATTAAAAAGTGACTGTAATTGAATCGGCTGTGCGATGTACTGTGATAACATATACTGTTGAGATTTTAATTATTTTGATTTATGTCACATTGAATGGTTAATCAAAAATCAATCACAGGAAAGATAGACATGTATGTTGATTCTTATAACTTTATATTTTTTAAAATTTTCATTATATTTTATTTCAAAATCACACTATAGCAAAAACCTATGATTTTAATTTTAATTTTTAATTAATTATTATTTCATTATTTAACAAATGCTATGCAAAAAAAAAAACAAGTCTTTAATGGAGTAGCCTAATTTTAAACCTAACTTAAAACTTATGAATACACTTTCTACGTCGGTGCGTGCATAAAATGTAATTTCATGGAAACTGGATCTAACATGTGTATAATGGTATTGATAACAATCAGAATTCTCTGTACTATATTATGCTAAACATTTAAAGAATGGACTTGCTTATGTTGTGGTCATATTAGACTGTAATATTGTTAAAGAAGACCATTTCAACAAACAACATAAAATATATTCTCACATAGGTGCATCCATAAAATGTAACTTCCTAAAATTTCTGTACTCTACAGTATGCTAAACATGTGAAGAGTGAACTTCCTTATGATTTAGGCCCAAGGAAATAAAAATTTGTATGGGTCTGAAGGCACATGATAAAGTGTTCGGTTTAGAAGTTAAAGAGTGCACTTCCTTATGTTGTGGTCATATTAGAACTTAATATCGTTAAAGGCCATTCAATAAATAACATAAAACATACCAAAATTTTAGGTTAAACTTTCCACTTCGGGGCATGCATATAACATAATGTTTTGGATATATGAGATTTTCATGATTCAAGAATGTACTGATCATATAAATTGTAGAAAATTACTGTTGTTCGACTGTTAAAATGCAATGAAAATGTGACGACAATGATAATGTAACCAGACATCCAATGCTAACTCAAGCTACGGGCCTCGGTTGACTCGTCAAACCAATTGCGCCTATTAATTAATCTTGTACAGGAGCCTGTCATCACCTAGCTACAGAGCCTCCTTCTCCTCCTCATCATCATCTTCATCATCGTATTTATTAATTGTCCATGGTAAAGTAGGGAAAAACTATGAATTCAGAGTGTATTCATTCATTAATAGATGTCTCATAATACACAAAGTGCATTTCGAAGAATTGGAATCAAAGTACTGTAGGGCCAGGAATATAGGTTTGTCCAACGACACACACACGTTGTTCCACAATCACATGTTGACGTACATATACGCTATCGATTTGTGCGAATTTAGCAACAATATATAAGTACTGGGTTATATATATATATATATATATAAGGCATTGAAACGAGGAATTAAAGCAACGAGTCATGTGGACTATTAGAACACTAGAATATATTTCAAAAGAAATTTTCGACCAGTCCTCAGTTACACATATAATCAATATTATTATGATAGGCTTGTTTTAAGGGCCAATTATCACATAGCTTATGTAACTTAGCTATGTGATAATTGGCCCTTAACTCTAAGCCTATCACAATAATATTGTTTATATGTATAATATATCTCTTGTATAAGCCACATTTTGTCATTTAGTTTTGTAAGCTGAAGAAGACCACAGGACTAGTTGAAAATTTCTTTTGAAATACACTAGTGTTCTATAGTCCACTTGACTCGTTGCTTTAATTCCTTGTTTCAACACCTTTTACATAATTTCAAGAACACACATGGATTTATGATGATTTCACCTAGATCATGGCGCTATCCCAAAACCTACCAATTGTAACTCAGCCTCTGTTGTGTCCAAGCGTTCTGCTTTCTTTGTTTTTGCCTTCTTTAAAGCATTAACCTTAAAGAAAAAAATAGGATTATTTAATATCATTATCATCAATAATATCAAATATCAGTTCCTTGTTTGTTTGTTTTTATTGTTTTTATCACACACATAAAAATATAAATTAATTAACGGTAAACATTACAACTAAATTTAAATTTTCAAAACAAAATCAGAAAGAAAAAGTGTGTAGTAGGAGGTCAAAATAAGTTTGTAAAACAAACCTTAAGACATGACCACCAGTCACCAACTGAACCCTGGACGAGGGGCGGCTAAAACCAGCGCCGATGTTAAGGCTGTAGTTAGCGGCACCCCCGTCTTATGCTCGGCCACTCAACTCAACCCAATTAGATAACTTTTTTTTTCCCTTATCATGTAGGTTTTTGTAAACATATCTGTGCAAATGTAGTATTATACCCATATATGGGCAAATCAGAATCCCGATTAGATGACATACTTTTTTCAATGCTCTAATATGGATGATTACAGTACCTTTGACCTTAGCCTGTTGACCTCATTTGTCTTTGATTCCTTCTTCTTTCCTAATTCACATAGTATTCTTTCTTCTTCCTTTATTCCTTTGTACACTTGGCGGTACTTTACACACTGTAATAAGAATACAAGAGTGAGAATACTATGAAACTTTGAATAAGAATTAGAATACGAACAGGAAGATTGAGAATAGGAGTGAAGATGAGAATGAGAATAAGAATAGGAATGAGGATGAGTTTGAGAATGAGAATAGGAAAGAGATAGAGAATAAGAATGGGAATAGGAATGAGAATGAGAATAGGAAAGAGATAGAGAATAAGAATGGGAATAGGAATGAGAATGAGAATAGGAATGAAGATGAGAATAAGAGTAGGAATATGAATTAAGATGAGAATGGGAATAAGAATAGGATTGAGAATAGGAATAAGACTGAGTATAAGAATAGGAATAGAATTGAAGATGAGATGAGAATAAGAATGGAAATGAGAATTACAATAGGAATAAGAATGAGAATGGGAATGGAAATGAAAAGGAGAATAGGAATAAGAAAAAGAATGAGAATGGGAATGAGAATGAAAAAAGGAATGAGAATAAGAAAAGGAATGAGAAAGAGAATGGAAATGAGTATGAGAATGGGAATAAGAATAGAAATAAGAATGAGAAAAGGAATAAGAATGACAAAAGGAATGAGAATGAGAATGGGAATGAGAATAGAAATGAGGATGAGAATGGGATTGAGAATGAGAAAAGGAATGAAAACGAGAATGAGAAAGAGAATGGGAATGGAAATAAGAGTGAGAATAGGAATAAGAATGAGAAAATTAATGGGAATGAGAATAGGATTGAGAATGAAATTGGGAATAGAAATGAGAATAAGAATAAGAATGAGAATAGTAAGGAAAATGAGAAAAGGAATGAGAATTAGAATGGGAAAAGGAATGAGAATGGAAATGGGAATGAGAATAGGAATGAGAATGAAAATGGGAATGGAAATGAGAAGAATAAGAATGAGAATAGTAAGGTAAGGAAAATTAGAAAAGGAATGAGAATTAGAATGGGAAAAGGAGGGAGAATGGAAATGGGAATGAGAATAGGAATGAGAATGAAAATAGGAATGGAAATGAGAAGAAGAATAAGAATGAGAATAGTAATGACAATTAGAAAAGGAATGAGGATGAGAATTGGAAAAGGAATAGGAATGGAATGTCTTTCTGTGTAAACTTCTTATTCTGAAAGTGCTTCGAACTGTACTGTATAAATACTCTAAATAAATAAAATCTATTTTGTACAGTGCTTTGGTCTCTGGGAAAAGCACTTCATAAATCCAAATAAAAGAAATAAAGATATAAAATAAATGGGAATGAGAATTTATTTATTTCTGGATCTGTTTACAGTACTTATCTAATCACCAGAATGTTTCATTATTTAATTTTTTTTCAAAAATTTATTATTGACACAAAAAGATTTTCTTTTTAATTTATTTTTTGACATGTAATATTTTATTTATTGATAATTAGATATGCATTATACCGCAAACTTTTCTTATTTATATATATATATATATATATATATATATATACATTTTAAAAGGCAAATGGGAAAAACCCATAAAACAGCAAACGGCCACATGCAAAACTATTTAAAATTAAAACGGAACAGTAGAGAAAATCCAATCAGAATGACAAAATAAACTAAGCATCCATTGGAAGGAATCCCAATATCTGCAGACGGATCCGTTTCGGCCTTCCAGGCCTCATCAGTGTAGCTAGGGTATAGACCCAAACAAAACGTTCGACTAGCTTAGGTACGGCCAAAACTAGTCCAACAACTGACCACTAATGATTACAGAGCAAATAGCGGAATACAAGCTATGTGGCTCAGTTCCAGTAGATGCAGAGAATCGAAACGGATCCGTCTGCAGATATTGGGATTC